CAAAAAAAAAAAAAAAAAAAAAAGATATCACTAATATTTTAAAAATTTGAATAGGGATAAAAGTACTCATACATTTCAAACAAAGCCTCAGCCTTGTTTTCCTTACTCAACTTTGGAGGCTGTTTTAATATTTGCCGATGCCACCCAAGAACAATTTGACAAGTCCCCCATGGCTAGTAATGTCTCTGGCCTTTGTATACCTCATTCCATTTACTGCGTCACACACAGCCCTAAGGGTATAGTCACCTGGGGAGACTTTGGGGCATTTTCGAGAACACCTTTATTTTTGTCTTGGGTAATGTATAATAATAGTATGAGCTTTGCCAGGTATGTTCCTATCAGCAAAGGGATATCTTCAGTGGAGAAGAAAATTCTGAATTAGGGTGGCCTTTTGGATTCTCCTGAAAGTCCAGGAGAGACAGTAGCAACCCGTTTTTTTTAATATAAAGAAGCAAACAGCATTTGTTAATTACTGGGTTTTCACCAGGTGTCCTGACATCATCTTCCCAGTTTCTTTCATCTGCCACCTTACAACTTGCTTATCCTCCTTTGCCTCATGGCTTTTGATCCTAAAGTACAAATGCATTCTCCCACTTAATGTTAAAAAAAGAAAAGGAAAAAATTGAAAATAATTGAAAAAAAATCCACTAAATTCACTATTTCTTCTACAGGGTAAATTTCCTTGTAAGACACGACATAGTAGCATCATTTAACAGCTGAGGAAGATGACACACAGACGTCAAGAAGAGATAGAATGATATTAAAAATGAATAGCAATGGCATTAAAATTAATGAGGGGTTTAAATGATATCGAGATAATGATGTCTTCATTTTCTTTTGATGTTTATTTATTAGCTCCCAATGGAGTGTGACCCCCAACTAAGTTACTAGTAGTAGGAATTGTCTACCAGCTCTAGGCAGAGAAGATGGGAGAAGCCAGAGGAACTATTAGCAGGGGTGGAGAGAAAAGTCTTAATAAGGGGTTGCAGGAAAGGTGGGAATTTTTTTTTCCAAGGGTGAAAAAGAAGAAGATTATTGTCAAAGCTGTTACCAATTTTTCTGGCTGCCTCTAACTGCTTGTAGGTGGCAAGATGGCCACCTTCATATTCACACACCGCCTTGGCTTCTGCGTAGGTGAGCTTGTACTTGCCAGACCGCGCTTCTCTGTGGTACACGCCTGCTGCTTGTTCTGTGAATTCACAAAATGTCGTCAGTGCACTATTATCCATTCTTGTGGAACAAGGGAAATTTTGTGGCCTCAGCTGGAAGATTACATCAGCTATTGTTCCTGCCAAAGTGTTCCCTGGGTCAGCTGCCTTGAGTGGCTAAGTTTTCATTGTTAGAAAGCTTTGGGAAAAAAATATGAATGAGGGGAATTTTGGGGGACATAGATAGAAACTTGAGGCTAAATTATTTTTTGAACTGATAACCTGAAAGAAAGTTTTAACACAACATTGTATTTCTGCATTATCCAAAGGTGATAAAGTTTTGACTTTTTTTTTTTTTTTTTTTGCGGTACACGGGCCTCTCACTGCTGTGGCCTCTCCCGTTGCGGAGCACAGGCTCCGGACGCGCAGGCTCCGGACGCGCATGCTCAGCGGCCATGGCTCACGGGACCAGCCGCTCCGGTGGCATGTGGGATCTTCCCAGACCGGGACACGAACCCGTGTCCCCTGCATTGGCAGGCGGACTCTCAACCACTGCGCCACCTAGCCCTGACTTTTTTTTTTTTTTTTTGACATTGTTTTAAAAACTTGGAAAGGTAAGCAATAGGAAAAGAAAAGGAGTTGAAGGCAAAAGAAACCAATGAAAATTGGCTTACAATGAAGGAGAAAAGTAAGCCAAAATATCCATTTGAGGGAAATGACTAATGCAATATAATTGAGAATTTAGTAAACAAATCAGAAACTGAGGAAAAGTTTAAAGGAATCCAAAGCAAGCAAATATTACATTGAAGAAAAGAAAAATAGATTTAACTACAGCAGAGAAAAAGTGGGACACACCTAACTACCAGTTCCTAAGTTCTTTATCTGGTTTGTCTTTTTCGGTTCACATTTGTTCCCAACGTATTTCAGATAGTGTTAAGTCATACATGAGCTGTCTCCCAATAGATCACTGTTTAAAATGATTGTTTTGAGTTTGGAGTGCATTTTGCCATAGAAACAATGTGAAAAGATTCCCAGGACAATAATCATAACATAGCGCTAATAGTTCTATGTTGACTGTCAGATTATTGTTAAGTCTTTGTCCCCTGACCTGTGCAATCAGCCACCATCAAGACCATTTCCAACGAGAACGTATGTTTCTTGGCATGCAGCAAGATATGAATCCAGCAGTATTAGAAATACTGTTCTTTACTCTCTTCCCCAAGCTGAAGTTGACAATGCCACAGTTCAATAGGAGATGCTGCTTGGCATTTTTCTGGACTCCAAGGGATACTGCTCTAATACCTTATATGGAAAAAGCCTGTCATTAATACACAGTACCTTAGTGCATCTGATACTTATAGGTCAGAGAACACAAGGAACATCAAAGTCATTTTCCCCTTTGAGAGTCACCTACTTCCCAAGTGTCCTTCATAGGACACTTTACACATAGGGTAAAGCCTCATTAACTAAACTTTTACTCGTTTCCAATTTGGCTGTTTTAAGAATATACCATGAGGTACTTTGATAGGTGCTGGGGATCAAGCCCTATTCTCAAGCAGCTCGAGCACTAGTGGGCAATGCAAGTACATCTATTTTGAAGTACAGGGGTACTAAGGCTTTTAGTAGAGAAGGAGAAATGTAGTGCTTACTAATGTATTGTGATGGAGATTATTGTTACTTTTTAAAAATGTTAAAACTGTATATGTTCTCTATTTTATTTTATTTGCGGTACGCGGGCCTCTCACTGTTGTGGCCTCTCCCGTTGCGGAGCACAGGCTCCGGACGCGCAGGCTCAGTGGCCATGGCTCACGGGCCCAGCCGCTCCGCGGCATGTGGGATCTTCCCGGACTGGGGCAAGAACCCATGTCCCCTGCATCGGCAGGCGGACTCTCAACCACTGCGCCACCAGGGAAGCCCTGTATCTGTTCTCTAAAAGATCTTTATTTGAAAAAATTTTGTAGGAATTATTTTGTCTGCCAAGGTTTCTCAAACTAAGATTTCCGTGATATTTTACTCCAGAAGTAAAAATATGTTGTACTAAAAACATGACAGCAAGCTCCAAAAGGAGTCCCTTATGCTAAGCCCCACATCACCAAACCAAGACTTAAGTATGGTTTCAGCTCACCCAGAAATGGAATCTTAAACCAGTCAGTCAGAAATCTCCTGATCACCACCAGTTAGGTCATCTGCCTGATAGACCCCTGCCATCCCCTGAAGGAAAGTAACCTTGCCATAACCAACCTGCTTTTTCACCTAGTAAAACTTCCTTCTGCCTGCTCCCTTCTGCCTATGAAAGTCTTGCATTTTGTACCACTCCTCGGAGCTCCTTTCTATCTGTTAGATTGGATGCTGCCAAATTCAAATGGATTTTTGCTCAGATAAACTCAAAATTTTAAGTATGCTTCAGTTTTTCTTTTAACAGACGTTTGCAGGAAAAAAATAAATTAACAGAAAAAATTTTTTTAATAATTTTAAGTTTTCTTCCTGGTAGTTTTTCTTAAACTTTTGGTATCTCTTAAACTTGTCTAGTAATAAGATAGTAACTTAAATAGCAGAAATGTCTATGCTATAATTTTTAGTTTATTAAATAATATTAATATTCCACACTGTTCCTGAAAGAGACTCAAACTTCCCATTATTTTGCCTTATGAACAAGTTGAGTACCGTTGGCATGTGTACTTGACAGTTTTAAGCACACATTTATTTTAAAGTATTTCTCAATTCAGAATTTTAAACTACTAAAATGGTCCTTTGTACAATGAGTCCTAATCTAAAAAATTTCACCTTTCAGAGGAAGTAATAATTTATTAATTTTTCTAGCTGTCATTCACTGAAATTGAAAATCTATTTAACCAATAACTTCCTTTTCCTTTTAGTAAGTGGTGACACAATACTATGTTGGCTCTGATTTCTATTTCTGGTTCTGCAGTGGACCAGTTGTGTGACCTTGTGTAAATCACCTCCTGAGCTTCAGTTTCTTCATCTATCCAATGAGAATAATGACAGCTATTTTTTGGAATATATAAACCATAAAACCCATAAGCATAGCTTCTGTATCCTAGTAGGAGCTGATGGTAATGTTACTTTTCCCTTCTCCTTTTTTGGATTCAATACAATGGCTAAAAAGAATTGCTTATCTGTACATTTTTTGATTTTCATAATCCATTTAAACTAGTTGAAGTCTCTTGTCCTTAAGTGTCTTTTTAAAAATTACTATCTAAGGAATTAGAGGATACAAGAGTTAAAAATAAACCTTAGGGGTCCCCTACTTCAGACTTCTCATTTTACCCGTATGGGACTGAGACCAAGAGTTTAAAGTGCCTTGTTCTTGATAGTTGCTAGCAGATCCCTGCCTTCTAATTCAACTCTCTTCCCTCCCTAAATAGTTTTCTAATACTACATTGGCCTAACCAACTGTAAACAATTTATGCTAGGCTGACTGATCAATAATTTGTCTCACATTGAAGCATGAAGCACTGTGCAATCACTCCGGGCCTCAAATGTGCAGCATACGATTAACAAACATTTGGGTTTGCTCCTCTCTATCTCTAGGACAGAACTCCTATTGTCTAGGTTTATATTTTGGTGATATACATCACTTAAAAAAAAAACACAACAACTCCAAATTACTTGATCATTAGCAAATTTGACAGCATTTCAAAGTTTATCTATGTGGGTTTAACTCTTATTAGCTTTATGATCATCTTTGTCATTTCTGACAAATAGATGTATATTTCCCAAGTTTGATGGTGTGCAATGAAAATAAAGAGACTTGCTCATTCCTCTAGTAAATTCCAGACCCCATCTTGGCCAAATGGATTGCAGTGTTCAGCATGAAAGCTGTTCACTGGCTCAAACTGAAAAAAGAGGCTGCAAGGCTGTGCATTGCAATTGAGCTTTCTAATGAAATCCGCATGGCTGCAGTTATTACCAGAGAGAAACATGCTGAAAGGGAAAATATTCTATAACTATGTGCTGCTTAGCAAGCATAACATCAAGATCTAGGTTAATTTTGCTTTCTCTTTATTTATTTTATACAAGGATTTGTCAGTTTTCTTCTTGAGCAATTCATATTTTTTTCACTATCAAACACAACAGTGAACATAAAGCAGTATTAATTTGTATCATGAGAATTAAAGCCTTGTTTAGAGTACTATATGGGGTATTTTGGGTTTTCTCTATTTAGCCTTTTTTGGTCTGTTGTATATTTTCACAGTTAGGTCTGTGTCATTCCTTACATTTAACAAAACAAAACAACAAAAGAAACTTTCCTTGTCTAACAAAAGGGGTAGAAAAGTATTTAAATGGATAGCTCAAACAAAAGAAATCAAGTGGTAAGAATACATCCAGAAATACAAGCTTTTTTCATTTTTTTCTGTATTACAAGCTGGCTTTGTCAAACTAGTCCAAAGATGTTTGGAAAAAGCATGATATACACTACAGGTCAGAGTACATGGAGCAATGATTATAAAATTATTGTATATTCCAATTTACCTGTTGTAATTCTCTTATGGTTACCTGTTATGAAATCTGACTAGAAATGCATTGAAATGAAAACAAAATAATATATTGGTGGTTTTATTTTGTTAAGGAAACATTCTGCACTATACCACCACACCTTCTTTGAAAATTTTAAAGCATATTTTCATATGGAATATAAATATTAACCTCTATTTTCTACTGAACAGTTCACTTTATAAAAAGCTATTTTAAAATTTTAGAAGGCAGAAACACTTTTTAAAAAATGATATATGCATTCCAGTAGCTATCTTTCCCAAGCATTTTCTTTGAAAACATCAGCCTTGAACAGAAGAGGAAAATTTACAGCTTTGATTCACTTCTCCATGAATTCAAAGAAGCGACTCTCCCAACAAGAAGCTCATGAGTGAAGTTTCTTACCAAGCCATATGGAGTTATGAAAAATTCCATTCCTGAATCCCCATCCGTGAGCCTCTTCCCACAGCAAGACAAATAAGTAAATTAAGATGATCATATCTCAGTTGTAGAGAAGGAATAGACTGTTAGGGGCTGCTCAGGATAAATTCCCAGAGCAGAGGCTGAAATGTGCCTGAAACATCTGGTTTCCACATCTTTAAATGGTTTTTCTTTTCTTTTCTTTTTTTTTTTTTTCAGCTGTGAGGTCAGCAAGTACTCTCCAATGGCATTTTCCTCTGTAGAGTTACACAATTAACTCACTGTCTGAGGCAAATTCTCTGACTCATTTGCATTGGCAACCAAAACTAAGGATATAGAATGATCATCTACATTTTAAAATTCACTTACTTTGAAAGGGGATCATTTATTCTATCTGTCATGGACACTTTTCTCTTAGGAAGTTTGTTTAACTTGGTGCAGATTCAGCAGTGGTTTCAAAACAACAAAAGAAAGACACCAGTAGGAACTTTAAGAGAAACCCTGAATATCTTATTTGCAGTAAGTCAATTATGCGGTAAGGGGTTTGGGCTTAAACACTTGAACTTGACCCTGGTGATGTTACTTTAGTTTTCCTTAAACATTGCCAAGCTTGTATAGAAAGTTTGAAACAAAAAGTATACACAGCTGGCAAACTCTAAACTGTCTCCAGTGATATAGCATTTCTTTACCCTCTCCTCTGTCTGCTTTTGTCCTGGGTGAGGTCTGTTGCAGTCCTTGGTTTATTGTGGTCAGTAGGTAAATACATCAGCTTCCAGAAAAGTAGTTTAGTTTCAGAGACTTAGGACATTCCAGCATTTTGGGGCTATCTTATAATACAAATTTTTCCAGGCCACAAATCCTTGAATTTTGGGGAGGAAGGTGGGTGGGTAGATAGTCATAGAGTTAATTAAAATATGGCCTTAGGTTTGCCAAACCACTCTAACTTTGAAGATTATCGAAGTCATAGGTAACTGTTATCATAGAAAAGTCACCATGCCTTGAAATACCCCCAATTTTCCTCTCCTTTTGTGCAAGGTCCTTGGGGAACCTGTCTGGTAATACCCCACTGCTCTGGTGCTAGTGGCGTTTCCTGTTGATTGACAACCATTTTTTTTGGCAGCTTTGGCTTCTCTTTCTCATTTGTCATTCTTCACTACCTAGCGTCTCTACTCTTGCTACCGAACTGCTTCCCATTTGCTCCCATTATATTCATTTTTCTCATGCTTTCTTAGTTCCTCCATTGATATTGGAATCTGGATTTGCTCTGATCTAAAGTTAGCCTTGAATCCCTTAGGCATCTTTGTGTTGCACATCAAAGGCTTAGACTGATCTTATCTCTCCTGGAAAGAGCAGCTGTGGGGGGTAGGCTGAGGGTGCAGAATTTACTGGATACTCACTGAGATGCGCATAAAGCTGTTAAGGTTCAAAACTCTCTATTTTGGACCCACAGCAGATGAGAGATGAGGGGATTATATCCCAGTTCACTGATAGAATTAGAGGGTTTAAGTTTGGTACAAAAGAGGATCTAGTCTAGACCAGGTAGGCGTGACTATGAAGAAGATAGGCATGGTCAGCGGGAATAGGATAAATAGAGAGTTGGAAGGAACAAACCATGATATTTCTCTGGAAAGTGGAATTATATGAGTATTTGTTTTAATTAATTTACTTATTTATTTTTGGCTACGTTGGGTCTTCATTGCTGCGTGCGGGCTTTCTCTAACTGCAGCGAGCAGAGGTTACTCTTCCTTGCGGTACACGGGTTTCTCACTGCAGTGGCTTCTCTTGTTGTGGAGCACGGGCTCTAGGCGCGCAGGCTTCAGTAGTTGTGGCATGCAGGCTCAGTAGTCCCCTACATTGGCAGGTGGATTCTTAACCACCACGCCACCAGGGAAGCCCTCTGGACCTACTTTAAAAAAAATATTTAAAAAGCAAATTCTAAGTGAGCATATTTTAAATTTGTTTTCAAATATGTATTCTTTGTTCCAGCTTCATAGATCATGGCAATTTTTCCTGAAAGCAGATATAGGTAAGACTTATTCTGTGAACCTCAATAACACAAATGAGTCACTATTTGTCACTATTCCACAAATTTAAAGTAAAAAAAAGAGACTCTAGGGTGGAGTTTCAAATATCTTTCAGAGGAAGAAGAAGACATTTAAAATCCTTTCAACATGCTCAGCCTCAGCTGACCGCGAAAAGGTATGGAGAAGTGTCAGGTGGATGTGGACTGAGGGGGAGAAAAAGGAAGAGAGGAAAGAGAAACACGTTCTAAGAGATCTCACGTCTGATTGTACTTTAAAAAGACTGGATTTCAGGCTTCCCTGGTGGCGCAGTGGTTGAGAGTCCGCCTGCCGATGCAGGGGACACGGGTTCGTGCCCCGGTCCAGGAAGATCCCACATGTCACAGAGCAGCTGCGCCCGTGAGCCATGGCCGCTGAGCCTGCGCGTTCGGAGCCTGTGCTCCGTAACAGGAGAGGCCACAACAGTGAGAGGCCCGTGTACCACAAAAAAGAAAAAAAAAAAAAGACCGGATTTCAATTTCCCAGCAAGACATTGTGAGAAAATGCAATTCTTTGGCATACAGTATGAAAACTAAAACATAAATTATATCATTTATTGATTATATCATATATTTTGTAATCTTGGAAAGTGAAGGAAAGAGAGGAGAAGGTAAGAAAAGAAAAGTGTGGAGCTCAGTGAATTACGGAATACGTCAATAGAGAACATCTTTAAGAACACCGCCAGTAAGGCCATTAAATTA